GATATCTCCAACCTCCCCCGGGATCTGGTCAAAGCTCTGCCGGAGGCGGGAGTTGAAGATCTCTCTGACAGGGGATTCTGCTAAACGTTCCCAACAGACCCTCACAATACGTTTGGGCCTGCCGAGTCTGTCCAGCTTCCTCCCCCGCCATCGGATCCAGCTCACCACCAGGTGGTGATCAGTTGACAGCTCCGCCCCTCTCTTCACCCGAGTGTCCAAGACATACGGCCGGAGGTCAGATGAAACAACCACAAAGTCGATCATCGACCTCCGGCCTAGGGTGTCCTGGTGCCATGTGCACTGATTTTCTTAGACTGGGTAAAATATATTAAAAAGAAAAAAACAGTATCAGAAAATATATATCTGAAAAAGGTACTGACATATCTTAAAACATTTAGCAGAATATATTTATAAAACTAAATTATCTGTAAAATATAAAGTTTTAGTAAACATCAGTAAAACATCTGAGGAGTCTTCCCCAGTATCACCTGTGCCACCGCATCCAGCTGCTGGAATTGTCTCTAATGTACAAGCTGCTAGAACAACCTCAGCCTCGAATATTACCAAGTTACAAACATGCCGAAGTTCAGATTCTCCCACAAATGGCAGCATCGCTGTGTCTGATTTAAAGCCCCAAGTCAAATGACAGATGTATGGCGCAAATAAAAGCACAGCAGTAAGAGATTGGATGTTTTATTGTCCTTTAAAGATGATCCTGTACACAAAGATTCATACAGCCACATTTACAAGACAGAGGAACTAAAGTGTCTCCACTGTGAACCTCAGCAGAAAAATCATGGTTTGATGAGGGAGAGCTCAAACATCTGACTGTCCTTAAACACACCAGTGAGATATTTCCAACCCTGCATATAAACTAAACCTAGAACAAAACTTTGATTTTTATAGACATGAAGTGAACCAGTGAGAACTGATGAATGGCTTGGAAAATTATCAGCAGCAATTTAAATTTCACAATGCTTCTAGTTTAGGACCCAAAACATGCAGAAGAATTAAATGTGAAGAAATGCAACACAACGCAGTGAATCATGAGCAGATGTTTGTCTCTGAGTTTGTAGTTCTGTCCCTCCTGTGTTGACAGACTGATTCTCTCCTCTCATCCCCAGGGATTCTGGAGGAAATGTTCAAGATCGTTCTGCCACTAAAACAAAGATCAGTGAATCTCACATGTGTATAACGAACCTCACCACAGAGCTCAATCTGTAATCACTGCTGCAAACACAATCAGCCTGGAGCCAGACAGGCTTCGATCTTTGTCTAGTACCTTTGACTAAAACGTTTGTCTTTTATCACATGCATCAACAAAAATGCATCTCCAGATTTTGTTATGAAGTCCTGGGACGATAAACACAACTGTGGAACCTGAAGCCTCAGAAATCCTCCCAACAGATCCTGAATTTCATTTTGAGTCCAGCTGCTGGTTCTCAGACCAGACTCCGGTTCACTGATTCAGAATGCAGACAAACTAAAGGTCCCGATGATGTGAACTGTTTGCTTCAGCCTGGTCTGGTCCTGGGACTTTGTCACCTCTGTGAAGTGCCAGAGTTCAGAAGTCGTGCAGAGAAATGTGGCGACAACTCGATGCTACAGACCAGGTCCTGTCTGAAAACGTGCCAACATGAAATGTCATCCTGTTAAATGTGTGAAAATCTACATGAAGACTGGAACAAAGCCACAATGTGAGTCTGAATGAAGGCCTGGTCAGAGCAGTGTCAAAAACAAGATGAATCTTGGAGTAAGTTCGGTTCATTGCTGCACACAGAGGATCTGACCAGACCGGTGAACAGATATTTGAATGAAAATGGATGATTTCATATCACAACACTGTGAATTTCCACCGAACAGATCTGAGAATCCCAGGTGAAAAGCTTGACTTCAGATCAGCTCGACAAAGAGACCTGGATGGAGATGTGTCTGTGTGCTGTTGACGCTCTTGATGCCTCTGTGATCACGCTGTGCCACCACTCATTCATCTCCGTCCGCTCCTGAAGGTGTTGCCAGCCGCGAAGAGCTGATTCTTCATCCCAGTTCTCGCTCTCTTCTCGTCTTCTCGGCTGTCTTCCCCTCAGCAGTGAGGCGCTGATTATTTTTATCCGGATCCCACTATGTAAAAACGTAAATGTTGTGGACATGAAATCAAAGAGTCAAAATGACTGAAGGTGAATCTCCTGTTCGTCTCCAAGTCTCTGCTGGGCTCATTTCACACCATTCCTCTTCTTTGTCTTAAGCATTGTCTCGGTTCCTTTACAGCAGCAGCTTGATTAAATCATAAGCTCCACCACTGGAGGCTGTTGTATCTCAGCCACAGTTTCATTTCCAGCCAGGAGCTTCGCTGCAACCCCAGCTCCTCAGAGGATGTCCTCGGGGTTTTCCTGGATGGGGGCTCGGGTTTTAGGCCGGCGCGGTCGCTGCATGGTGAAGCAGGACGAGGCAGTGAGGGCGATGCGGCTCAGGCCCATGTTCAGACAGTGGACCTCGGAAGTGACTGGCACCTCAGCGAAGAGGGCACGGTCCCGGGACAACCGGACCGAGCCGCCGTCATCGCTGCTCTCGATGTCTTTGACGATGTTGAGGATCTCTTGACGCTCTGCCTGCCGAGTCATCCCCCGGATGTTCAAGATGGCCGACACGTGCTTCTTCCTGAACACGGGAACAGAGAAGGAGGAACAGGAGGTGTCACTCCATGTGTTTTCAGTGAACCCAAATGGACACAATGAGAAACTAAACAGCAATTTGGAAATGAAAGCCTTTTGAAAAGAGTCAAACAGTTGTGTGTGCTGAAATAATGAAAAACAAAATTTGTCTCCTGAACCCAGTGAAATCACAAACCAGAGACCGAGGAGGCAAAAGCGAAGACAGTGATGGTGGTGTTCAGCTCAGAACAGAACCTAGAAACACTGCTGCCCCCACTGTTACCTCCATCACCTGATGCCATGGCCTCTGACCTGTATTACTATTTTATTTATCCTTTATTTAACCAAGTGAGCCTCACTAAGATTGACATCTCTTTTTCAAGAGTGGTCTGCCCAAGAGGGCAGCCACTGATTGAGCAATAAAATATTACAACAGTAGACACAAAATAGTACAAACATATACAGCCATACAGAGATGGCCATTTAACCGCAGTATACAAAGTACAGTGATGTACAAGAGTTCCATAACCAGTAAAGGGTTTTCCATAAAGGGTAAAGCACAATGACATAGATTATCCACTTTCTTAAGGTACAGTCTTTGTTTGATGCATTCATAAAAAGCAGATCACCATAATCCAATACAGGTAAAAAAGTTTCCAAAATCATATATTTCCTTGCCCGAACAGAGAACGTTTTAGTTTAGAAGAAAGGTTTTCCATGTGTGGTTTGAATGACAGGTTCTGATCAATAACAATACCCAAATGCTTACATGCATATGTTGTGACCATTTCTATTTGAACCCCTTGTGCATTTGAGATGTTAGGAAAATTAGATGTTAACTAAATGATACCGGACAACACCAAAGGCTGACAATTCAAATGTCTACTGTCGAGAGGGATGAACAACAGATAATTGTATCATCTGCATAAAAATGACAGCATTTGATAAATTATCACAAATATCATTTATATATATGGCAAACAGCAGTGGACCAGTTTGAACTCCCAGTGAGTCAGTGGGACATTTGCCGAGCTTGTTTATAAGGGACCATTCACACTCTGACTCTTGGTGTGTGTCCCTGAACGCACCACGAGAAGAAGACAAGGTGGGGGTGTCTGTGATGCTCGTACCTGACGTCCGGAAACTCCCTGACTAGAACTCCCACCTCCATCTGGATGGAGGGGACATCCTCCAGCAGGATGATCTCTGAGATGTGGGGCAGGGCGCTGTCCACCCAGCTGGACAGAGACTCCTGACACATACCGGAAACACACCATTAGACAGGATCAGGAGTCAGTCACCTACCAACCTCGGGAGGCCGTTTCTAAATATGTTGCATAATCAAACTATTAATCAAAGTAAAAGTGTGTCGATCATATTTCTGCTTTTCATATCTTCTGTGCAGTTAGTTTTCCAACAAAGAGCAGCGTGAGCAGGGACAGTGAGAGGAAAATAAGCTGGAGGTGTGCTGGACACTGACCAGGTCTTTGAAGAGCACTTTGATCTGTTTGCCTTCATCTCTCAGCCGGCCGGCCATCCTCTTCCTCATCTTCATGGAGGTGCAGATGATTCTGCCTCGCATGATCGAGCGAAGGTACTCTATGACCACCCGCCGGTGGACCTCGGCCACCAGTAACTGAGGACGAGAGACACAGAGTCAGACAGAGAGAGAGAGAGAGAGAGAGAGAGGGACGAGAGTAGCAATGAACCAGCTGCATCTGGTTTTCTGTTTGATGTGGAACATGACAACGGGTTCAAGCATCAGTTAGTGTCTAGCTGTCCACATACTGTTGGCCATACACTGTACACCTACAGCTGTCTGACAGGTGAAAGGACACACTATCACACAGTGACCAGCAGGGCCTCGTCAGGGGCCGTGTCTCTAGAGCAGCTTCAGCTCTGTCAGGAGGAGGAAACCTCCTCCTTCCAGACCAGATCCCCCCCCCCACTGTGTCCAACCCACTGTGTCGTCCTCATGAAGCCATTCAGTGACCTAGAGCTGCAGCCATGAGTCAGTTCACTGGTAGAAAATGAACCTCAGCTATTTAGAAGCAACAGCCACCGACATGTTCTGGTTCCACCCTCTTTAATGTGAGGAGCTCGTGCTTCTCCTTCCACCTGTCTGTGGGTGTAAACCTGCACCTGGTATGGAGGACAGTCCATCCTGCGATACTTCTTGAAGCCTTCTCTAATGAGAGCTTCGATATGCTCATATGGCTCCGCGTTGCTGAGCCACTTCCTCCTCACCAGCTGCTCGAAGTAAGGCTGAAACACACAGGCAGGTCATTATTATTATTATGATGCTGTTTGAACAAGGACATAATGCTGTCAGATGATAGAAGAGAAAAGCTGATGCAAATGTTCTTTTCATTTGAATTGCCTTCAGTGTATAAACAGTAGTATGAAAGGGGGTGGACTTTGTTGCCCTGGGTTTTGTCTCGCAGGCTCATAGACACTGCTGGGCTGATTGCAGCCTGAAAGGATCACCTGTAGACACTACTCAGGGCTGAAAGTGTACCTGCACTCCCTCAGTATGTTATTCAGATAAAAAAAAAAAAGCCATGTAACTTACATTTTTAAAAATATAAATAAAAGATGCTTTGATGAACAGTGTGTGTGGGTGTGTGTGTACTTTGATGTGCAGGTAGAGGCGCTCCGACAGCACCCGGACTCCCTGCTGCACGATGTGATCCAGAGCTCTGTTGGCTCGACGCAGAGAGTCCTCACTGACCGACGGATCACACGGAGCACAGCGCTGCACAAAACATCTGCACACACACACACACACACACACACACAAACACTAAAAGCGGGATCCTGCTGCCTATGAACATCTCAGTAACAGCTGCCACTACTGGAGTTACAGGTGAAAAAGTTGTGATTTGTTTTAGAGCAGCACAGGTGCTATGATCCTGGAGACTCAATTGAGCAACACTTTACAGAAACCGAGTTCCTTCTTTCCTTCTGTCAGCTGATCCGAGTCACATAGAGTCATGATGTGGACGCAGCCGTCCTGTGTCTCTGTGTGTTTGTACCTGAATGGAGGGCAGCAGTTGACCAGCGCAATGGTTTTGGACACGTATCCGTCCTCATTGTCTCCAAACATGCCGCTCTGCATTCCTTCATGGAACATCTCAACTTTCCGCTGGAAACTAAAACAAAGGAGCACAATCATGATCATTCAGCTCAGTTAAAAAGCTCCTTAAGACTGTGCGTTATGAGTGATGTGTGCACCTGTAGAAGAAGTTGGCCAGGCCGTTGAGGCTGCACTGGGCCACTCTGGAGCCCAGGCTCCTGCTGATGGAGGCCGATCGCTCCAAATCCACTTGCAGCCTCTAGAAGCACACAGCCAGGATGGTTTGTTTCACATCTGAACCACTTTTGTTTGTAAAAACGTCATATGGCAAAAAGTAAAACCAGAGAAATGACGTAAAGCAGCAGTTTGGTTGAGTGATGTACTGAGCTACAGAGTGTGTCACTGAGACACTTCTATGCAAACACGCCTTCATGTGTGCAGCCACTCCCAACCTGCAACATGAGACTGACTTTGCTGACATTTGATGATGGTAAGTTCAGGAATCGCTGTTCAAGGACACTACATTAATTTCACTGGACATTCAAACTGTCCATGTTTGTTTTTGTAGCTGGACTTTCTGTGGTGGCCACTAGAGGGCAGCAACTGGTTCCAGTGGAAATGAATGGTGCCACAGTTTGTGAGGGTGACTTTGGCTCCAGCTGAAGGACAGACTCAGAAAGCGGCAGACAGGAGACACTTGCCGGCGGTGTCATACACTCACCTGACCAGCTCAGACTTCCCCACCTATAGTAACCGTGGTAACGGAGGCCCGGTGCGTACCTGTATGACGGTCTTGGCCAGTGTGATCTGGTACTCCTCGATGTGCAGCGTCTCCATCCATCGGCGTTCCTCCTCATCCAGGACCTGACTCAGCTCCGTGATGACTTTAGCCTGCACAGGGAGGAGCCGGGCATCAAAACAAACACTCCTCGGCTTTCACCACCAGTTACAGGGAGTTCTCAAGCTCAAATCATAACTTTAGAAACAATATGATAGTTGTTTCTAATTTTCTGGTTTATGTTTGTTTCTAATAATGTAGTGCAACAGATTTCAGAGGAATTTGTTTAATAAAAACAGTGTTTTCTTATTTTTGTCTGTAACACCTCAGAGGAGTTGTACACAGTCATGGAAAGCAGCCAAGTACATGTACTGAAGGATGGTCCTGAGGTACTTGTACTTCAGTATTTCCATTTTCTTTGCCACAGCTGCCTGACGGCTGCAGGTGGTGGTTGCTTTTCAGATTTCAAAACATTTGCAGCTTTTAAAATGACATTCTTTGCAGCCTAGTAGAAACATGTCAAACTTTTATTTTAATCAAGTTAAACTACTTCAATCTACTTTTCATTGTCCCCGAGCAGTAACAAGTCTTCTGTCCTGTTTTGAGACAGAAATGCTCATTTCTGGACAAGACGAATTAAAAACATGTTTGAATGTTCTGGTGCAAACCTCTGATACAGAATTTATAAAAAGTGTATAAGCTTTCATTTAGAATGTTTGTTCTAATGCTTAGTAACTCATTTACTAGTCCAGGTTGTGGACAAACCTCCTACAACACAACATGTTGTCAAGCGACCCTGCTGCAGAACATCTGGACTGAATTCTATTGATAAACTGATTATTAAACAGAGGTGTGCCAGCGCTTCACTGCACAACACAACTGTGAGGATTCAGTTACAGACACAAACGTCGTTATATGACTGGAGGTTTCTGTAAATTTAACATTTAATAAAGTTGCTGACATTTCCTCAAAACTGCTGCTCACACATGAATGATGAGTGATAAGGCCCGTGAATTCTGTGAAATGCAAAACGTTAACATTTAATATTTAAAGCTTTGACTTTAGAAAGTCACAGAGTATTTTTACACTGCTGTACTGCTAACTGTACTTCACTAAAACGTCTTCCACCACAGGCGGGAGCTCCACCAGTGTTGCACTCATTTAGTTTAAGATGCTGCCTGGAAAGAGCTGCAGCCAGTTTTCTGTCATATTCACAGTGAAGCAGAGCAAGAGGCACACGTGATGGTTTGTGTCAAGCTGGTGAATTCTCAGCTGCTTTTCTTCATAAAGGAGGAAACATCAAACATCTTGCACCTTCTAACCAGTGTGTGTCCTGTGTGTGACATGTACCTGTCCCCACAGTCTCACAGTGGGGACTCGACTTCCCCCAAGGGGATAAAAAACATGTCCCCACAGGGTAACTCAGTGGAGGACTTGGTCTGCAGGAATTGAATGCAGGTGAATGTGACGAAACGTGGCTGTGTGAGTCTCACCCTGACAGAGTTGAGACAGTCCAGCTCCAGTCGGTCCACGGTCTCTGACGGCAGCAGAGGGCTGAGCTCAGAGCGGCTGAACGGACTCGTGATGCACACTGTCCCCAGAACATCTCTGAAACAACGTACACACAAAATATGACACCGAACAAAGAGAAATCCTCAGGGGACGGGGAACCAAATGAATTCCTGTACAACAGCTGAAGGTGTGGAGAAGCTTCACTGTGAGAGCAGTGCTTCAGGATCTGTCAGGAGTTTCACAATCATGGCTGCTGTGTCACTTCAGAACGTAGGGATACAGTGACTCGTGATTCGGCCATTTCCTGTTGTTCTCTTATACTAAAACAAAGCTCTGCTCTCGTCTTCTCTGTGAGAATGCATCAGCGCTGACAACGACAACAGAGATATGGAGGCTCATTAGCTGATAGCTGCTGAACATGAAGATGCTGGGGGATGCTAATCATCCCAATGATGGTCAACAAACCACGATGTTGAAGCATTCAGAAAATGACTTGTCCTGCTGTATGTTATTTGTGGAGCTGGAACTATTGGTATATTTTTATTTCTAAAGCTATTTTACATAAACTGCCCAAAGATCTTTGCAGAACATGTTTCACAGAGTTCATCTCCCTCTGATCCTCTCAGATTGCAGACACACATCTGCTGCTGGTGCCAATGTTTGGCCAGAGATGGTTTCTGCTGCAGTTGCTACTCCACTGTTCTGCTAGCGCCTTATGCAGCACAGACCTGACTCTGTCAGACAGTTCTCAGTCTGTGGAGCTGTGTGTTGGAAACAGACTCCCGTGTTTCCTAAGGAGGAAACCTGCCCCCCAGTGCAGCGGTGTGGCTCAGTAGGGGGTTTAACAACTGGTGTACAACAGTGGTCTACGGCACAGAGCGATGAGCTGGACCCTGGTCTGGACTCATGCGCATTACAGTGAGGACACCACGTTCACTGGGGCTGCCACTCTCTGGACGGGGTTAGGGGGGAATAAATGACCTGAGAGGGATTAACCCGATAAAACATTCAGTGGAGCGATGAACAGCCCAGCTCCAGATGTCGGAGTGCATGTACCTGTTGTATTTGTTGTGCAGCCAGTCAAGTAGTGAGTAGGTGTCCGTGATCTCCAGCTGGTTGTCAGCAATGGCCTCCAGCCGCCTGGCAACCGCCTGGTGGTAGCTCTGCACGTACACCTGGCAAGTCAAAGGTCAGAGGTTAAAGTGCAGTTTCTGATGTGAACCTCACACAGCAGCAAAAATGTGGTTTCAGTTAGACAGTTATAAGAAAAACGTTATAAAAGAAGGCCACTTCTACAATATCTAGGCATTTCTATTAAATAAAAGTGTAAGAAATAAGATTTACAAATAAAAATCACCAAATTAAAGACGGTTAAACACCCAGTTAAACCTCAGATGCACAATCAATACATAAGGTTGTTTGTTTTTTTGTCACTGAAACACAAATGAAAGTTAATCTTCCATCAATTACCATAATAATTAATCATTTATCTTCAGTATGTATTTGCCAATATGCACAGCAACAGGCCTCCCTCAGTGGTGGAGAGTAAGTACACCTACTGTGCTCAAGTACAGTTTTATTTGGACCTGAGTACTTCCATGTCCTGCTCCTTCATCCTGTGACTCCATGTCAGAGACAAACTGTGTACTTTTTACTACACTACATGTACCTGATACCTTCAGGTCCAGAACCAGATGAACCAAACCAAACCCAGTAGAACCATCAGACTCTATTGATCCCAGTAGGAAATCCACCAGCTACCCAGCAGGATGGAAAGTACTTCCCAGTATAAGTATATAAGGTAGTTACCATCAGCTCCACCTTTACCAGCTGCAGCATTAAAGTGATGGACACAGTAATTAGTCACTATGATCCAGTATCAGAAACGTTACTGGGACACGGGCTGTTCTGGAGGACCAGTACTGGTACTGCTGGTACTTCAGGTAGATTTGGATGCTGATACTTTGGTACTTTTACTTATGTAACATGCTGAATGCAGGACGTCTTTGTCCAGTGACTGTATGTTTAAGTGGACAGTGCTTTGTTTTAAAGGCTCACAGGTGAAAACAGGACCCAGTGACCTACATCATGGGACAGTAGAGTAGTGAGCAATGCTGCTGATGGGGGGTGTAGTTCTGTTTGTCTGTTGCTGTTGTAGGGAGCACGCTGTGTGCACAGTGCACATTTGCAAGCTGGATAAACTGATGTCGTTGTTCTTATTGTTCTTTCCTTCTGCTTTAAAGTCTTGCTGCCATGCACGCCAATTCAAAGTCCCCTGCTGGTTACTGTAAATAGCTTGTGCACACTCGTGCCAGTGATCAGGAGATATTGGCAGTGTATTTATTCATACACTGTAGCTACTGTAGCATTTAAAATGTTTTTTAACCCTGCTGCAGTCCAGGGTCGTTGGTCGGAGCCGGGCACCAAACAAATGTTCCTGCTTTAGATCTACGCTCACTGAAAGTTCAGGTGAGTCGGCTGACTCTTTGAGTTCAGCCTGACCCACTGCAGCACAGTGTGTGTTATTCTGGGGACGGTCTGCCGCTTTCAGAGTTTTGTTTTCAGAATGTTTGGAGTCCAATAATAGCTGTGCACAGCTTGTGCTCACATGTCAGATTGATGCTCAGTTTATATTTATATTCCAGCTGTGATTGTGATCAGACGAATCAGTCCAGAGTCTTATCATCATCTTGCTGTGCCACAGCGCTGAGTCTGGGTCAGGACAAAGCTTCATAGACATTGCTGCATAAAGAGAGACTGAGATGCTGAGCTTTTTGCCAGTATGACTTCTGACATGCAGTCAGGTTGTGGTCAGGACTTCCTCAGCTACATCCATTATCTACATCACTTATCCTG